TCCGTCCGCTCATCCGTCCGTCCGTCAAGAAACACCCCAGACTCGGTGGCTCTATAACTATGTTGATATATCACCAAGGCTGCGTCAGATGCGTTCAAGTATAAATCAATATTGTTTGGACAGTAATAGCGTGATTTATGGCTCCATCCTCCCTGTTGTGGTAACGGGAGGGACTACTGTTAACGGTGGGGCGTGAGTACTGTACGTCTGTTAACGGTATTGTGATCTGGGGTTACTGTTGTGTGTGTACCTTGTGTGTGTGTACCTTGTGTGTGTGTACCCTGTGTGTGTATACCTTGTGTATGTGTACCTTGTGTGTGTGTACCTTGTGTATGTGTACCTTGTGTATGTGTACCTTGTGTATGTGTACCTTGTGTATGTGTACCTTGTGTATGTGTACCTTGTGTATGTGTACCTTGTGTGTGTATACCTTGTGTCTACCTTGTATGCGTGAGTATGTTTATGTGTGTGTATATGTGAGTTTGATCATGTACGTTTTATGTGTACCTATATGTGTGTGTGCCAGTGTACTGTGTGGAAGTTGTATGACGGTAAATGCATACGTGTACGTAAATCCAGATGCATGTGTGTATATCTAGGTGCGTGTACGTAAATCTAGATGCATGTGGATCTTACGTTTGTTTTTTGTTTATCGTTACGTGTGTTAATTAATCTAATGATGTCTTTAGATTTTGTGTAAGTATAAATCGTGTGTACATGTGTGTGTGTGTGTGTGTCTGTGTGAGTATGTATTATATTGTTGAGCTGTATACTTGCAGTGTCTATATCCTGTACATGCGTCTATCTATCTATCTATCTATCTATCTATCTATCTATCTATCTTTTCCCTAAACACCCATACCTTCCCCTAGTTGCCACCTGACCTCACTGTATAGGAAGATCTCATAGGGGAAAAAAAAATCAAATATCCCCCAAAAGTATGACTATCATCGGGGGGTGGTGGGGGTAGGGGTGGTGGGGGGAGGTGGGTGGTGAGGGTGGGGTGGGGTGGTGGGGGTAACAGAGGACGACAGACGTGCGTGTGTTTGTCGGTGAGGAAGGTCGTGGTGATGGTGGTTCTGATAGCAACGTTTATGGACATGTTCTCTCTTGTTCTCTCTGACTCTCTTGTTCTCTCTGACTCTCTTGTTCTCTCTTGTTCTCTCTGACTCTCTTGTTCTCTCTTGTTCTCTCTGACTCTCTTGTTCTCTCTTGTTCTCTCTGACTCTCTTGTTCTCTCTTGTTCTCTCTGACTCTCTTGTTCTCTCTGACTCTCTTGTTCTCTCTGACTCTCTTGTTCTCTCTGACTCTCTTGTTCTCTCTTGTTCTCTCTGACTCTCTTGTTCTCTCTGACTCTCTTGTTCTCTCTTGTTCTCTCTGACTCTCTTGTTCTCTCTTGTTCTCTCTTGTTCTCTCTTGTTCTCTCTTTAATCATCGGGAGAGAACACAAAATAAAAGATAAATAGATGGATGTACAATGTTGGTTTGATGCCACGAACGGGATGGCTGGAGTCATTGTTTGTTTACTTAGTTTTGAGATTAGATGTTGTGGTCTAACTTTAACCTAACCTAACCTAACCTAACCTAACCTAACCCTCTCAAGGTAGCGTTAAAGTTCGTAATTCATGGTTATAATCGTAGTCGTAATCATAGTCACATTGAGAGTCGTAGTCGTAATAAGTCGTAGTAAGAATATATCCATCAGTAACTCCTTATCTTATCATCAGGTGGTGGTGTTATCAGTGTGACGAGACAGTAGTTGGTGGTCTGTGGTGGCGACCGTCAGCAACACACGCAGACAGACAGACAGACAGACAGACAGTGAGGTGACTGATATATTCTCTCAATGAGGTGACGTAGTTATATATGGTGTTATTGGTGACGTGGTTAGGTTAGGTTAGGTTAGATTAGATTAGTTTTGGGTCGGGTTAGATTAGATTAGTTTTGGGTCGGGTTAGGTTAGGTTAGGTTAGATTAGATTAGTTTTGGGTCGGGTTAGGTGACTGATAATGTATCTTCCAGTGTAGTGACGTAGTTATATATTGTGTTGGGTTAGGTAAGTATTTGATAAGGTTGGGTTAGATTAAATTAAGTCACCTTAGATTAGATTAGGTTAGGTTAGTATTACCACCCTGGCTTAGGTTAGTTCAGTTCAGTATTACCGCCTTGGTTTAGGTTAGGTTAGTTCTGTATTGCCACCCTGGTTTAGGTTAGGTTAGGTTAGTATTACCACCCTGGCTTAGGTTAGTTCAGTTCAGTATTGCCACCCTGGTTTAGGTTAGGTTAGTTCTGTATTGCCACCCTGGTTTAGGTTAGGTTAGGTTAGTATTACCAAGCTGTCGTCCTGCGGTACTATAAACACTATTAAACCACTGCGACAGAGACACACTTAAGAGATATTTTATAGCACTTGACCTCCTTTAGGTAATAATGGCGTAAGGCAGAGAGAGAGAGAGAGAGAGAGAGAGAGAGAGAGAGAGAGAGAGAGAGAGAGAGAGAGAGAGAGAGAGAGGAGGAAGAGAGAGAGAGAGAGAGAGGAGGAGAAGAGAGAGAGAGAGAGAGGAGGAGGAAGAGAGAGAGAGGGGAGTGAGGGAGAGAAATGGGGTGGGAAAAAGAGACAACGAGAAAAGGAGAGCAAGAGAGAGACGCAGAGGGAAAGAAAAGAAGGGAGGTGAGGAAAAGAGAGAGGGAGAGAAGTCATTTATTATCTTGACATAAAAAGATAAAAAAAATGCCATAAAAAAGATAAACGCGACAGTAAAACACACGCATTGAGAGAGAGAGAGAGAGAGAGAGAGAGAGAGAGAGAGAGCTAAGAAGGAACAGAGAGAGAGAGAGAGAGCGAAAGAGTAAAAAAGAGAGAGAATAAAGAAAGAGAGAGAGACAGGATGAAGAAGAAAGAGATACAGGTAAGAAAGAACAGAGAGAGATAATAAAGAAAGTAAAGAAAGAGAGAGAGAGAGAGAGAGAGAGTGAGTAGAGAAAGAGAGAGAATAAAGACTAAAACTATATCCCTTAGTCCTAATATCATGTAGGTAAATGACTCGGCCAACCACACGCATTAGTGCCAGCGCCACTCAATACTCTGGGTGGTGCCTCGTTGTCAGGGGTATTGGTGGCACTATTGTACTCTATATCGCTTTAACCTTTTGAGTCCTGGGGGTTCAATCATCGTCCTCAAAGGGTTAAATCATCGTCCTCAAAGGGTTAAATCATCGTCCTCAAAGGGTTTAATCATCGTCCAAGGGTTAAATCATCGTACTCAAAGGGTTAAATCATCGTCCTCAAAGGGTTGAAATCATCGTCCTCAAAGGGTTAAATCATCGTCCTCAAAGGGTTCAATCCTCCTCCTCAAAGAGTTCAATCATCGTCCTCAAAGGGTAGAATCATTCAAGGGGTTAAATCATCGTCCTCAAGGGTTAAATCATCGTACTCAAAGGTTTAAATCATCGTCCTCAAAGGGTTGAAATCATCGTCCTCAAGGGTTAAATCATCGTCCTCAAAGGTTCAATCCTCCTCCTCCAAAGAGTTCAATCATCGTCCTCAAAGGGGTTCATCGTCCTCAAAGGGTTAAATCATCGTCCTCAAAGAGTTCAAATCAAATTTAATCATCGTCCTCAAAGGGTTTAATCATCGTCCTCAAAGGGTTAAATCATCGTCCTCAAAGGGTTAATCATCGTCCTCAAAGGGTTTAATCATCGTCCTCAAAGGTCCTCAAAGTTAAATCATCGTCCTCAAAGGGTTAAATCATTCTCTTCAAAGGGTTAAATCATCGTCCTCAAAGGGTTAAATCATCGTCCTCAAAGGGTTCAATCCTCCTCCTCAAAGAGTTCAATCATCGTCCTCAAAGGGGTTAAATCATCGTCCTCAAAGGGTTAAATCATCGTCCTCAAAGAGTTCAATCATCGTCCTCAAAGGGTTTAATCATCGTCCTCAAAGGGTTTAATCATCGTCCTCAAAGGGTTAAATCATCGTCCTCAAAGGGTTTAATCATCGTCCTCAAAGGGTTTAATCATCGTCCTCAAAGGGTTAAGGGAGTGTTGTGTCGTTGTCAAGGTTATTGGTGGCCCTGTTGGCACCCATGGAACTACAATCATCATTAAGTATAGGAAAGAAGGTGCGTGTGGTCCCGTAAATTGACCCTTTCTTTTTTATGTATTTATGTATGTATGTATGTATGTATGTATGTATGTATGTATGTATATATGTATGTATGTATGTATGTATGTGTGTATGTATGTATGTATGTATGTATGTATGTATGCATGTAATGTATGTGTGTGACTTAGTTTATGTAATGCCTTATAGCTTCTGTCGTAGAGGAATGTTATACAAGCGATTTGGTGTGTGTGTGTTTAATAATAATAATAATAATGGCATGGTAGCCAGAAGGCAGAAAATATACAGTTACATAATTGGGGAATGGGTCTCTTGATTTACAAATAATATACAAGTAACATAAGGGAGAAGCTCAGACTGCAGGGCATTTCAACATAGTGATAGTACAAAAGGTAAGATTGACTGGGAGTGAATACACTGGTTGATTACAAGTTGCTGATAAATTTTACAATGGTTGGGACTGGGCTGTTCTTATAGCGATCAGTTCGTGCTCGTATGGGCTGGATGCGGTTGTGGTGTCGAACAGCAATTCTCGGACGAGGGATCTCGGGTGGTAGTAGGAGCCAGTGTCGAGGATGGTGTAGAAGCTTCTCACCAAATTTGCAGATGAGGTCGTGGTTTGTGTGTTTGTGTGTGGGTGTGTGTTTGTTTACATTGGCTAGTTATTGTTGGTGATATATATATATATTATTTCTTTAAATATTTAGGGTTAATTTCACCTCTTGTCTGTCTACCTGTCTGTCGTCCCGTCTGTCTGTCTGTCTGTCTGTCTGTCTGTCTGTCTGTTTGGTAATTAATTAAGACACCTTTTTACCTTGTCTGTGTTGGGACGCCTCATAAAAATTACGTAAGATTAATTCTCTTATGTTTCTGATTTCCAGATTATGGGCTGCGTACAAACAATCAGAGGGTGATCAGGATGGCGACGATCAGATCACAGGACACACAGATGACTTATTGAACAGATCAGAGTTGGTAAACATGTGTAGATAAATGATTCTACTGTGGAGTGTTAAGCTGGGAGGAAAGTTTGTCTTGGTGCATTACTGAGGGCGGTGATACGGGCCACACCACTCTGGCCACACGACTCTGGCCACACGACACTGGCCACACGACTTTGGCCACACGACTTTGGCCACGCCACACTGCTGAAATACCTGGTAGGTCGAGTGTGACGAGGTGAACGGCGGAGAGGAGGAAGAGTCGACGTAGTTCTCAGAATGAAAACAAATGACGCAGTAGATGGGAGAGAAAGAGTCCGAGGTAGACGAGGCTGTTAGCATCGACAGCCTCCAGCAGAGTCTTAGCCTCGAGGAAGTCTTCAACGGGCACAACAAGAGCTCCTCGAGACGCCATGACGGCCGGCCATTCCTCCTCAGTGTCGAGGAGGCTCACCGCGGACGCCGAGTTACAGCGTTCGAGGATGAGAGGAGCCACACTACCCGCCCGAGGACGCCCACGCCAGAGTCCGGACGGCAGAAGAAGGCGTGGACCAGGAGGAAAGGCTTCACTCTCTTTAACTTCCGGAGGTCGCGGCAGGAGGACCGGAGTAAAGAGACGCTGGGGAATGGCAACGTGCCGCCCCTGACCAACACCACAACCACCCTTACTGACGTAGACAACGGCGATAACAACCACGTGACCAACCTCGCTCTCTTCCACTGTGTCAACAACCCAGCCACCGCCGCCAAGAACAACGGGGACCTGGCCAGCCTCCGGTCCCTCAGTCCTGCCCCTGAACTGGTCCCTTTCCACGATGAGGACCCCGCCGCCCCTAACGACCTCTCCTCTTTATACTGTATCCTCAACAACCGCAACAAGGGCGTCGGGGACTTCACCTCCATTACCTTCGAGTCAGAGGAGCTCAGTGCCGCCGCTAACGTCCACCAGGCGTCGCGTCCCAACACACAGGAACACATGGTTAAGCCGCAGCTGATCCGCCCACTCACCCGCGACGGTGGGCGGCCGCCTACTGGAGAAGGGAAGGCCCTTTTTATGACGTCCAAACACCTCCCCGCCCACATCCTCCCGCCTCTCGCAGTATGGGAGTCCTCGGTGGCCGGCGCCGTGGGGGACGTCACTAATAACTTGGAGTCCTGGATGACGAACCTTCCACCATCACTAAAACGACTCCGACTCAACTACCTGTTTATACCAGGTGAGTGGGAGGTCCTGTAAGGTGAGTGGGAGGTCCTGTACCAGGTGAGTGGGAGGTCTTTTACCAGGTGAGACACACACACACACATCAGACCAGGTAAGGTGAGGTGGGCGCCACAGGTCCTCCAGCCAGTAACAACACGACACACACACACACACACACACACACACACACACACACACACACTCTCAAACACACACGACGCTCTACCAACCCTGAAATATTTATCAACTACGACACACCACGTACTGCAACCCTGAGATTTACCCCCCCACCCTGCTCCTCCCCCCTCTCCCCATCCCCCCCTCCCCTCTCTCCCCCCAGAAATACTTGGAAATTAATAGGGTGTTGCTGTATCTCTTTCTTTGACGTTACAGAAGAGGATATTTTAGATAATGGGAAGGAAGTCTTGTTGTCTTGAATTACCAAATAGCCTAAAACCCCGCCAAGACCCCCCCCTCCTCCCTTCCAAGACCCCCCCTTTCCGCCGCCAGAACTCCCCTGTCATGACCTCCCCTCCCCCTTTCTAGATCCCCTCCCCCCAAGGCCCGTCCCCTTAAGACCCCCTGCTTAAAAGACCCTCAGCTAAGACCCTCTCCCAGACCCCCCATCAAGACCCCATGCCTCCCCCCCTCGAAATAAAAAGGTAGTAGTACCCAGAAACACTGACTGCAGCATTACACAAGGTTAGGTTAGGGTAGTATATCTCATGCAGGGGTTAATGACACACACACACACACACACTCACACACACACACACACACACACACTCCACACACACACACCCTCCTTTAATTTACGAAGAAATGTTAATCCTGGGAACTTCTGTGACTCGTGGCTCTCACTCGCGGCTTCATTCTCTCAGTTATTCAGGTGTTTTTGTTCGCTGGGTTCGTTTTTTATGTCTAATTGGAGGGTTTTTTATAACGTGACCCTGAGAGACAGAGAGAGAGAGAGGGGGATTTAGAAGGCGAACGAGATTTATTGTTGATAAAAATTGTGTGTGTGTGTGTGTGTGTGTGTGATATTTGAGAATGCATATCGGAATCTGGCCCTTAGTACTGTCTGGATCAATAGTTTTGTTGTACTGTCTCCTCTAGTACTGTCCTGGCTAGTAGTAGTGTTTGGTACTGTCTCTTACTTTCGTCTCTAGTACTCTCCTGGTCAGTCGTGTTGTGATACTGTCTCTTACTTTCGTCTCTAGTACTCTCCTGGTCAGTAGTGTTGTGGCACTGTCTCTTACTTTCGCCTCTAGTACTCTCCTGGTCAGTCGTGTTGTGGCACTGTCTGTTACTTTCGTCTCTAGTACTCTCCTGGTCAGTAGTGTTGTGGTACTGTCTCTTACTTTCGTCTCTAGTACTCTCCTGGTCAGTAGTGTTGTGGTACTGTCTCTTACTTTCGTCTCTAGTACTCTCCTGGTCAGTAGTGTTGTGGTACTGTCTCTTACTTTCGTCTCTAGTACTCTCCTGGTCAGTAATGTTGTGGTACTGTCTCTTACTTTCGTCTCTAGTACTCTCCTGGTCAGTAGTGTTGTGGTACTGTCTCTTACTTTCGTCTCTAGTACTCTCCTGGTCAGTAGTGTTGTGGTACTGTCTCTTACTCTCGTCTCTAGTACTCTCCTGGTCAGTAGTGTTGTGGTACTGTCTCTTACTTTCGTCTCTGTACTCTCCTGGTCAGAAATGTTGTTGTGGTACTGTTTCTTAACGTCTCCTAGTACCTCTCCTGAGTCCAGTAGTGTTGTGGTACTGTCTCTTGCTTACTTTCGTCTCCTAGTACTCTCCTGGTCAGTAGAGAGTATTGTGGTACTGTTGTTCTTTGTGTCCCTGGCTGTCCTTGTTCTGGTTTTATTTTCCTGTGTTCTGCTGACCCCTCCCCTCGTACCTGTTGTTGATGTTTTTACCTGGGTCAACACTGAATCCGGCTGTGTCAATATTTTACAGGTGACCCGTTCTTCTTCTTCTTCTTCTTCTTCTTCTTCTTGTTCTTCTTCTTCTTGTTCTTCTTCTTGTTCTTCTTCTTGTTCTTCTTCTTCTTCTATTTGTTGTTGTTTTTGTTCTTCTTCGTATGTGTTTTATTTAATCCCACGTTTATTCTCCCTCTTACCTCCTCATTAATCCCACCTCTCATGCACCTCTCGCACACAAACACGTAAATAAACACAATGGTAAATAGGGTAACAGACCGTGATTTAAATAGGTAATTGATATCTTCCGTGACTCAGGCCATGGCGTTCGTAACTAAGCAACGTATAGTGTGTTTACATTTGGCGGGAAACACCAATATTTCATCTGAAATGCGAAAAAGATGTAAATGAAAACAATAGTGGTAAATATGGCGGGAAAAGTGTGAATGGTATGAGCGTTCGTGATTGGTGGAAAATAGTTTACTGTAGAAGCGCGCGTAACTAAGCGACTGTGATTGGTTTGTTTACATTCTGCTAAGAGACTAGCCCAACCACGTCATGGCGTACGGTAGTGTGTGGTGTGTGTGGTTGATTAAAGGGTAATTTACGATTTTTTTATCACCTACTGCTGCTAGATTCTCAAATGTTTGTAAGTTGGTGTTATTTCCTCGTAACTTAAGAGATATAGAAATAAAATCACCACAAACACACAACACAGTTAAAAAAAAAAAAAAAAGGATATATATATATATATATATATATATATATATATATATATATATATATATATATATATATATATATATATATATATATATATATATATATATATATATATATATATATGAATGTTTTGGGGGCAATATTGACAAGTAATAATGGATGACTGTGTGTGTGTGTTTGCTGAGGTTAAGTGCTTTTAGCCGTTTGTTCACCTAACCATTTGTATTTTCTGTTCATTCACTCACCCATTCATTTACTCACCTCTTCACTCACTCATTCATTTACTCACCTCTTCACTCACTCATTCATTTACTCACCTCTTCACTCACTCATTCATTTACTCACCTGTTCACTCACTCATTCATTTACTCACCTGTTCACTCACTCATTCATTTACTCACCTCTTCACTCACTCATTCATTTACTCACCTGTTCACTCACTCATGGGGCAATATTGACAAGTAATAATGGATGACTGTGTGTGTGTGTTTGCTGAGGTTAAGTGCTTTTAGCCGTTTGTTCACCTAACCATTTGTATTTTCTGTTCATTCACTCACCCATTCATTTACTCACCTCTTCACTCACTCATTCATTTACTCACCTCTTCACTCACTCATTCATTTACTCACCTCTTCACTCACTCATTCATTTACTCACCTGTTCACTCACTCATTCATTTACTCACCTGTTCACTCACTCATTCATTTACTCACCTCTTCACTCACTCATTCATTTACTCACCTGTTCACTCACTCATTCATTTACTCACCTGTTCACTCACTCATTCATTTACTCACCTCTTCACTCACTCATTCATTTACTCACCTGTTCACTCACTCAATCATTTACTCACCTGATAATTAACCTGTTCACTCACCTGGCTAATTATTCACTGTGACCTTCTACCTCAGGTGTTAAGAGTCGCTATACTGAATAATAAAAGCGTTCAAAAGTTGTGTATGTGTACTTCCGTGTACGTGTGTATCTCCGTGTACGTGTGTATCTCCGTGTACGTGTGTCTCGTGTACGTGTGTGTGTGTACGTGTTTTATAATATTTATTATGATTGTATGCGTATGTGTAGTTTTTCTGTACAGTTGTTATGTATAGGAGTGCGTATATGTACGTATTTTATATTATGAATGTACACGTGTGCGTATATGTGTTTTTATCTACCGTAGGGTTTGTTATGTATGTACGCGCATGTATGTACGTTTGTATGTGTTAGCTTGTGTGTGTGTGTGTGTGTACGTCTTTATCTGTTATGTGCGTACAAGGATGAGTTATTGTACGGTATGTATTTTAGATACTTAGGTTAGGTTAGATAAGGCTTGGTTAGGTTAGGTTAGTTTAGGGTTGGTTAGGTTAGGATAGGTTTTAGGTCTGTCTGTCACTCCCGGAAGACATTTAAAAAGGCCACCCACTGCTGCCCATGATACCTCACGTCCTGTAGGTCACTGCTTTTCCGTGTGTGTGTGTGTGTGTGTGTGTGTGTGTGTGTATGTATGTATGTATGTATATGTGTATATATGTATGTATGTATGTATGTATGTATATGTGTATATATGTATGTATGTACTGTATGTATGTATGTATGTATGTATGTATATGTGTATACATGTATGTATGTATGTATGTATATGTGTATATATGTATGTATGTATGTATGTATATGTGTATACATGTATGTAAGTATGTATGTATATGTGTATATATGTATGTATGTATGTATGTATGTATGTATGTATATGTGTATACATGTATGTATGTATGTATGTATCCAACTTACACCCTCACCCCACATCAACATATATCACCTCCCACCTACAATAAGCTGAACCATTACTCAACCACCCCAACGACCACTTAACTACCTGACTACCACCTCTCTCAAACGACCCCATTAGAACCAACGTGTAAGCCAGCAGCCACGTGAAATCATAAACAAAACCTTGACCTCTAATTGCTCTCTTGATCGTTAGTGTATGATATTGACGCCTAATTGGCTTAGATGGAATAATCGTTTCTGTGTGTGTGTGTGTGTGTGGTAGCCAGGCACTTCACTCTAATAGCCAGTCGTTTTGTTGGTCATAAATTACTCCGTTTGTTGATGGCTCTTCAACTACACTCTCTACTGTGTGCTGTGTATTGTGTGCTGTGTACTGTGTGCTGTGTATTGTGTGCTGTGTATTGTGTGCTGTGTATTGTGTGCTGTGTATTGTGTGCTGTGTATTGTGTGCTGTGTATTGTGTGCTGTGTATTGTGTGTTGTGTATTGTGTGCTGTGTATTGTGTGCTGTGTATTGTGTCCTGTGTACTGGTCAATATGTCCACTTCTGTTTATTACCTGTCTCTCCTACCCCCTCCCCCCCCCTCTTCAATCCCCCTCCCTCTCCAACCCCCCCACTCCTGCCCCTTCAACCCTTTCTCTCCAACCCCCTCACCCCCACCCCTCTCTTACCCCACCCCTACCCCCACCCCTACTACAAATGTACATGCGAAGTAATGTTCATATATAACTATGTGTACATCAGTGTGTATACATATTTGTTTTCCTAGCATGTGTGTAATGTTGGGGAGTTAAAATATGTACGTATTGTATGTGTACATAATAAACATCTATATACATTCATGAGGGGTAGTGTGTGTGTACACAGTCTTATATGGGTCTTTGTCGTCATGGACCCTAGACTTAAAGGGTTAAGTTGGGGCCTGTTAGGACTGGGATCTCATGTAACTGGCGCGTACCCATATACAGTCACTTACAGGCCTCGACCTACAGACAGTCACTCACAACCACTCATCAAACATCACACGGTTACTTACAGTCGTCTACGACCTTGACACAGTTACTTGCAGGCATCCACGACCTTCACACAGTTAATTACAGGCCACGCCAACCTTCACAGCCACTTACAGACCACAATACTCATGAAAGCAGAGAGAGACGAGACGAGAAGATAAATAAATAACACCATGACTTACAGCTCCGGTAGTGAGTCATGGTTAATCGACACCTGAGTACTGGGTCGTGGTTTACTCAGGTGTGTTAATTAAGGGGATACCTGGTGTGGTTGTGGAGGGGTGAGGGGGTGGGAAGAGGGGTAGGGTAGTGTGGAGGAAGAGAGGGAAGGGGTGAAGGAAGAGGTGAGAGAAGGGTAAGAGGGAGGGAGGGAAGGAAGGAGGGGCTGTAAAAGTACTGTATATTTATGTAGAATACTGTAACGTGTGTGTGTGTGTCTGTCTGTTTTTATTACCACTTGACACGAGTACATTTGTTGAGTACATATTACATAACTACACATTCTGTCTCGAGTACATTTGTTGAATACATGTTACATATTACAATACTAGTGTTTAAATAATGAAGAAAAAAAACACTAACCTGTAACTCAGTCGTGACCCTCAAAAATACTATCTGGCATCCCAACAACCAATGGCAAGTCATTAGATAAGGACCTTGAAAAAACTATCTGGTAACTCATCATTCAATATCGTTTTAATAAATCTCTCTGAAAAACACTATCGAGTATCTCACCAACCAAGAACAAACTTCCAAAATAAACAGTAACTGGCAACCTAACTACAAAAAATAATAAAAAAAATAAGTAATCGGCAACACATGACATCTGAGTTACCAAGTATTATATTTTCACTAATTAAATAATGGTGATTTATTACTTAGTTGTAATGACGAAAAAATACACTAATATCATAAATAACGGATGATAATATGTCAAAAATACCACACTTGGCACCTCAGACAGCATTTAATATTAGGTAATAAAAAAAACATTAATTGGCACCTCTATAGCGTTATAATAGACAAAGACATTAACTAACACCTTAACGACGCCATTACCGGCTGCCAGTTTAAGAGGCAAGTTAAAGGCACTAAACTACGTACTAAACACAGGTAGATAATGGCACCTGTACGCTTAATTAATTGCACCTTTAATGTTACCTGGTCACAGTGCAGTATATTAATCGGAGATTGGTACCTGACACCTCAAGAGTTGCTATATAAGTTTGTTATATTGAGGTTGAATGTGTAAGGAACCTCGATATAACGGATTGCACTCCCAACCTAACCTGGCCTCACCTCACCCAACCCCGACTTAACCTAATCTAACCTCACCCCATCCTGGCCTCACCTCACCTAACCGTAATATAACTTCACCTCATCCAACCCAACCTCACTAATCATCACATCCTTCTTCAGGTTCTCACGACTCGTTCAGCTACACCTTAACTCCTGAAGAAGAGGTGGGTCCTGACGCCCCTAACTTGGTGTCCCATATCAACTCTTGCGTCCCGTGTATCGCCAGACCCTTAATACTACGTTGGTCCGTCACACAGCGAGCCTCTATTTAACGGATTGTATGGTGGGATAGTTCGTTATATGGAGGGTTTGTTATAAAAACCTCTATTTAACGGATTGTGTGGTTATACTGACGGTGGTTATACTGACGGTGCTGCCCTTCTACAGGTACTTCGACATCCGCGTGGCTGTGAGAGGGTCGAGATTCTACTTCGTTCACGGCCTCTACGGGGAGGACCTGACGTCCCTCTTATCTGAGGTACTGTACTCACTAACTCACTCACTTACTCATCCAATCACTCACTCACTCACTCATTTATTCACTCACTCACTCACTCACTCGTTCACTCATTCATAAACTTAATTACTCATCCAATCACTCACTCACTCATCCAATCAGTCACTCACTCACTTACTCATTTATTCATTCACTCATTAGCTTCCTGTTAGTCTCTTACAGTTACCTGTTGAAGACGTTACCTGTCACCTGTTAATTATGTCACTTGTTTGTAATGTTACTTCGCGTGTCACCTGTTGTTATATAATCTATTGCGTCTTCTAGTTTATGTTCACCTTGGGAATATTAAAACACCTGTGTAGTATAGAGTGGGTCTGAGTGAATGTAAACAAACAGGTATGTAATGTCAACAATACATCAGCTGATTGAACTAAAAGCGCGGGAAAATGTACGCTGGAAAAGTATCACGAACAGGACGCGCTAAAATGTTTTATTCTTTACATGAAACTAAATAAATTAAGTAAATCTAGTTTATTATTCTCAATTTTCTCGTTGTTGGGTTAGGTTCGTGATGTCTGGTTTTAGAAATAGTTGAATAAGTGGCTAAATACATGGACAAATACAGTTATGAGTTTGCGGTGTCGTTACTGGTATATTTCTAACATTAAACGTCTGGGTAAATTAATTCTACGGGCGTTCCCATCCACGTTTCACTAATTCCAGCTTGAATACTAGACATTATTATTATTATCAATAATTATTTAACTTATCCTCTTTAGTATACATATTAAAAGAAATTATGGAATTTATTGATAATATTGACAAATTGAAAATAAAATCCTATTAATCCGATAGAAATATTAATCAATTTTCTTTTCGACAACTACTACTACTACTACTACTACTACTACTACTACTACTACTACTAATAATAATAATAATAATAATAATAATAATAATAATAATAAATCCAGTGACCCTTCCAAGCCGTTTTTATTGATCCAGTTACATCCAGAAGTCGTTCTTGTGGATGCATATGCCGCCTAACCGTATATATTACCGTATATGTTTACAGATCCGTCAGTTCCTGGTGAAGCATCCGGGCGAGGTGGTGCTCTTAGACTTCCAACACTTTCACGGACTGACAGCCAATGATCACCTCGTGCTCGTCACCTACATCAAGGAGCTCTTCACCGACCTCATCTGTCCTTACTTCCATCAGCTGGATCACCTCTCTCTGGCCTACCTCGCCCGCTTCAAGTACCAGGTGAGAGAGAGAGAGAGAGAGACTGCAAACCCGGTCCCATGTTACAGGAGATTCGAACCCAACAACCTATACATTGAACCCAATACCATGTTGCCATTCCACCATTGATTGTTTAGGTTAGGGTTAGGTTACGTAGGTTAGGATATGTCTGGGTTAGGTTAAGGTAGAGTGAGTTTAGGTTAGGTTGGGTGAGGTTAGGTTATAGTCATTATAGTAGAAGTAAGTTTAGGTCACATTACCCTCATTATAACTCAAGAAACCCTGGATGAGGAGCATTTCCCATCCCTTCATCAGTAGTAAAGATACTCTTCATTCTCCTCCTCCGGGTGCAGGTGTTGGTGTTCTATAGACACACGCAGACGATGCAAAATGTATCTTGGCTGTGGTCTGGCGCCTCCCTGCCCAACCCCTGGCCAGACACCACCTCCATCACCTCCCTGCTCGCCTTCCTCGAGGATAAACTGCGTAGCCGATCTCACAACACTTTCTTCGTCACCCAGTAAGTGTTCAAGGGCCTCTCACACTTTCTTCGTGACCCAGTAAGTGTTCAAGGGCCTCTCACACTTTCTTCGTGACCCAGTAAGTGTTCAAGGGCTTCCCACACCCTCTTCGTCAGCTAGTAAGTTTGGGCGGCCCTTATTAAATGTTGGGCGGCCCTTATTAAGTGTTGGGGGCCCTTATTAAGTGTTTTAGGTCTCCCCAACACCTTACCTTCTTTGTCAGCCAAAACACCCGTTGAAGTTCTCATGTACTTACTTAGTCCTCATGTACTCAGTTATGTACTCCTTAAGCTCCCATGTACTCACTAAGTCCTCATGTACTCACTTTCTCATATACTCACCAAGTCTCATATCCTCACCAAGTCCTCATGTACTCACTAAGTCCTCATGTACTCACTTTCTCATATACTCACCAACTCACGTTCTCATATACTCACCAAGTCTCATGTACTCACCTCATGTAGTCTCTCATGTACTCACTAAGTCCTCATGTACTCACGTTCTCATATACTCACCAAGTCTCATGTACTCACTAAGTCCTCATGTACTCACGTTCTCATATACTCACCAAGTCTCATGTACTCACTAAGTCCTCATGTACTCACGTTCTCATATACTCACCAAGTCTCATGTACTCACTAAGTCCTCATGTACTCACGTTCTCATATACTCACCAAGTCTCATGTACTCACTAAGTCCTCATGTACTCACGTTCTCATATACTCACCAAGTCTCATGTACTCACTAAGTCCTCATGTACTCACGTTCTCATATACTCACCAAGTCTCATGTACTCACCAAGTCTCATGTACTCGCAAAATTCTCACATACTAATCATCTGTCATTCCCCAGATGTGTGTTGACGCCAACGGGAGGTTACCTGGCGAGGAACATGTTAGGGCACCTGGAGAAGAGGATGGCTGCCCCTATTAACAAGATGGTCCCGGAGTGGTTAGAGAGCCTCCCCAGCGGACTCCCGGGAGCTAACGTGATCATGACAGACTTCGTGGACCATAACGACTGGGCGGTACCGAAAGCCGTGGTCAGCAAGAACACCGTCGCCCTCCTCTCGTCCCCTCAGAACTTAAAATATTGATGGGTGTGTGTGGTAACCTTTCATATCCTCTGCTCGATGTGTTCTAAAGTGCAGGAGTGCTTGAGACTATGGCAGGTTTCAGGCCTTATCCCATGTGTTCTGAAGGACTGAAGGAGTGTTTCAGGTCCCAACTTAAATGATACTCAAACTGTTACAGCTTTCAGGTCCTATGTTATCTTTTCTGAAGTACTGAAGGAGTGTTTCAGATCTCTCAGGTTAAGTAAAACAAAATGAACTGTGGTTACCTATCAAACATTCATACAATTGGTTCTATATTTCAGGTAGTGCTTTAATTATGACTCATACATCTAATAGGGAGTCAATTACAGACAGACAGACTGACATTAAGTGGAAGAGGAAGATGGTTATTTGACTGTCTCATCTAGAAATACACCAACATAACAACTTGCATCTTTACTGTACAGATTTGCATTATAAAATAGCCTGAAGAACCTTCCACAACCTGAAATTAACAAAGTAAATAGTATTCTCTGGATCTTAGTTACTGGGCCTGACAGAGTGAAGAAACATCCTCATTAATGGATTAAATCAACCGTCATACCTGCCTTCTTACACTCTCTCCTTTAGTGGAATGTAAAGGAAAGGGATTGATAAATATTAAGTAAACTGTAAATATATCAAAATAATTAGACCTTCAGATGATACAGCCATTTGAAGAGTCGTGATCACCTGCCTAGCACACCTATAGTATATACCTCATTAACCTGTGTGACAGCTTAAAAAAAATATTCATTGTTATAGATTCTTTTATTTTTTGTAATTTTGTTTTTTTTACTCTAAAGTTTATTGTATTTTAGGAGAATATATTTATTTAATGAGTTTTGTTTAGTAGTGTTAGGTGATTAAATATTTGTTAGTGTTTTTGTCACTAGTCATTAAGGTGTGTGACAGGAACGCTCTTTAAATCTAGTCTTGTTACTTTTATTGTTACCTGTTGAGTTTTGTTACGTCATAAGCGTGTGCCAATAACTTTTTCACCTGACCTAATGGTACAAGAGGATTGGTTAAGACAGATGTAGAATATTTACGATTTTATTTAAGAATAGCTGTATAGTATTTACTGAAGGGCTATTGTTTGATTATGATTTTATTTAAGCTGTAGTGATAATAGTAAAATTATTTTGTTAGTTGATTACAATTTTATTTAGGAATTGTTGTAGTATTTATTGAAGGAACTGACTGATTATATTTAAGAATAGCTGTATAGTAGTTATTAAAGGACTATTGTTAGAGTATATTAAAGAATAGTAATAATAGTAAAAGACAGTTTCGATTACTCACGATTTTATTAAAGATAAGGTAGAAGGAAATTGTCACCCTGATTGGCAATGTTATTACTGTACTTGAATTTTGATATTAGCGTTTGTTGGGATAAATTTCTGGTCATATTAAGTGTAAATATTTTTTGTTTTGATTTACAAGGAAAATAATTGTTCGTAAATGTTCGTATGGTGAATGTTAGTGTAAATATGTGTTGTAAATGGTTTCTCTTGTGTGTTTGTTTGATGTGCGTTGTTAAGCTTGTGTTTTGGGCTGTTGTGAGTAGATAAGTGAAATTACAGTAGTTTGTATGTTTTTTATATGACTGTTTGTGTGTGTGTGTGTGTGTGTGTGTACAGATGTTTGTATTTGTGTGTACTTTTGAAGAGTGTATGTGTGTTTTTATCTGTGTATGTAGAAATGTTTGTATTTATGTGTACTTTTAGAGAGAGAGAGAGTGTGTGTGTGTGTGTGTGTACATTCGACATCTTGATAAGGCTTAAGCGTTCGTTTCTTCAACAATACTCTCTTGAAGAAATTTCCACCAGCCAGGTCCCCCCATCACCCAGTGCCTTAACATACGAGGTAGCTCATGTTATTACCAACCTTCGTTTACACCTGTTTACCTCAGGATTCCTTCACCTGCACAGCTTATCTCCAGTGTCTTGCTGCCCTTCCCTGGGATTATTTTAAAGTCATATTCAGTACAATGACCATTTTATGATGTTTGTAGGGTAATGTTAATAATAGATGTTTGTTATTTATTGTTACTACCATTTCTCACTTGTACGACACTTTTAATCTCAGTTAATGGTAAGATGTACAGTGTTGGAAAAGTACCAAGAACAACAATACAAAAACATTTACAGCTAACTATTTTTTCAACTGTATATTTATATTTTAGAGGACATGAAGTAACCAAGTGTAACCAGATAGCTAAAATTATACTCTTTGGATAGTTTTTGTTAGAATAGATTTGGTCTGGTTGGTTTTTGTCATCAGCTTTCATAAATAAACTAGGTTAGACTTTGCTCTTCTTGATACTTAATTAACATTGTATATGATGCCCGTAGCTGTGTGTATATCGCGTGTGTTACTGCCTCCAGGCGTTTAGTTCACTCTTCACCCGCTAGAGGCGCTGCTCAATGTCAACAAGAATACCCTTTCAATAACACATTCTAAGAACTTTAAGCTCAAAACAGGAAAGAAGAATGTTAATATTTTTTATTATGTAGAGGTTTTAGATAATTTTATGTCAGATCTTAGAGTTAGATGATAAGAAAAGGGTATATTTTGGTTCATATATGAACGCGAGGGAACTACGAACCTATGAACTCTTGGAGGCTGTTTGTTATCGACCACATTTTGTCTTGAGTTCCTTGTTAGATTTGAAGCTCTGACTGTGATACCCCCTATTATGCCACGCACACTGTGAAGCCTTAGACTGGTTTCCTGCGTGGTTTCACTTGTAAATATGATGCATTATGTGTCAAGGATGGCGTTTATGGACGACACCTAAACGTGACTTAACCTAACTTAACCAAGAGGTCTTAACTCATTCCACTTGTGTATTTCCTAACTTAGAATACACGCTTAAAGAAGCTTAGTAATACATTATAGCTAACTAACCTAACTTAAAATACACTCTTGAAGACCTTATCTGGAATGAGTTATATGTTTAGTTTTAATTGGTTCGTTCATGAGTCGTTAATTACGATCATAAAAAAACATCTAATTTTAACTTTATTTTATATTTGAATATATATGAATGAATGTTAGTTATACGTGTGTGTGTGTGTTAGTATCATGGCATGCCAGTCAGGTGCTCATCTGATCTACACCATTGTAACTGATTGCTCACCTTATCTCAGTGTGATTTTTCGCCACTAAGAATATATAAGTGATTTTCGTGATAAATTTTTTGTTATTTATTATTTACATTAATAATGAAAGAATAGGAGAGACTTGCTCACCTAATACAGGGATAAGAAAGAGTGATTTTGTTGTTCTTAATAAGGAATGTGAACTCTTGCCTCTGTAACAGTGAGACATAAGTGTGGCTCCTAAGCTCTACATTACCCTCACTGCACCCGGAACTTAAACTAACCTAACCTTAGCGAAACCTGGATATGGGGTACCACCCTCTGTCTATTTCACCTGATGATTAAACACTCTGATTAACCTCACCTAACCTAATCAAATCAAACCTAACCAAATCTAACTTAAGCTAACCTAACCTAATCCCCATCAGGTATCGTTCGGGTGTTTAATCGTCAGGTGAAATAAGCTAGGGTGCCTAATCAACAGGTGAGCCATAATGAATAATTCTTCATTATATAGATATTGTTAATACCCGTGTTAAAAGTGAATAAATTACACTGTTATTCATTCCTCAAAGTTTATTATACACAGCATTAAAAGATCTCATTATTGTTCTTTAAATTATAGGAATTATAACTATGAATATATTATTGTACCTGTGAATGATGCAGTTTTATCGTCACAAGAGACAAACTCACAGACCTAAATCAAAATAAAGTCGATGGGATAAATTATAGAGGTTGTCTTATTTTTTGGTAAATATTTGTCCACGTTTTACAACACTATCAAATAAATTGTCTTGATCTACAGTACCAGAGTTCATTTTATATACATACATGGATATATTATCCTTACATCAATTATCATATACACATACGTACACGAGTTAATTATTTACGCACATGTAAAGTTCGGGTATATAGGTATCAAGATTTTATGGTATTGTCAGGAGGCTAAAGTATATTGTATAAGATTAATGGAAAAAAATCTTTGTTCTATGCTTTTGCTTATTACAAAAATCATCTTTATGTGACTAATGCCATGTGTGCGTGTGAGATAGTAAGAATATAGTACTGTAGTTATATCTTAATATTTAAAGTTTTATTCGTTTTCTGTGATGTATAATATAACCATTTTCTATTATCATTCAGGTTTTGTTATTTGAAGTTGTTGTTTAGTTATTTCTGTATTAAAGAAATATATAATCTAGTTAACGTAGATATGAAAACTTCTGTATTCTTAATTTACCTTATTTCACTAAAATTAATTAGCTTATAAGAAACTAACTATATATATATATATATATTATATGAGGTTTTAAGCTTGAGATAATGTTTAGGTAGGTTTTAATTCATGTTTATTCCGTCGAAGTGAATTTAGAAGTCAAACAACTGCAACAGACTCAACGATGCTCCAGGTAGCAAGGCAGTGTAGTTAGCATATGACGCTAACATCTCATCTATTAATGGGAATTCATATTTTTCAGTACAAAATAAGTTAACTTCAAAAAATATTGTATTGTTAAGTATTCTAGGTTATATTTTTTATCTAAGTTGGTGTAGATGTTACTAGAGAGTTAAATTAGCGTTATTTGTTAACTTAGCGACTTGTGGTAAGTTAGCCGTTTATGACGTCACGCGCCAAGCGTTGTCTGGGCGGGAAGTTTTGTTTTTGCTTGTGATCAATAAGTGGATTTTCGGCGTTTATAAGTAATCCTGAGCTCCCTACGGCATTGTAAGTACTCATATACCTTTATGAGTTTATAAGTAAATGAAATTTAAGTAAAACAAATTCTTAAAGTAGTGAAAAGTTACTTAAAATAACATTAACAGCAAACAGGACCCCATCTCTTATTTCGGTAAAGTGCCTTGTGTTTTTCTTCCAAACGTTCACAAACTTTAATAAATATGGAATAAGAGATATAAAAAGTTATAAAGGAAGAGATGTAATATGAGGATAATAAATATAACACCAGAAGCCATTAAATAAGATAAGGCAATGGTAACCAAATTCATATTACATTTCTTCCTTTATTTTGTTTTCTCTTATGTATTGTATATATTATATCCGGCTGGTAATACACATCCGGCTTGAGCTTTTAATTTATTCCACAATAGAGCCGGATGCTGCAGCGTGTGTAAAAATAATAATAATTGATCTTTTAATCCACTAAGGAAAGGTTTTTGTCTTCTGTGCTGTATAAAATATCTGTTTTCTATTATTTAGGCTTTTATTATTATTTGAGGCTTTGGATTGGTTATTTTTATATATTAAAGGAAAAATATAATCTAGTTAACTTTGGTATATGTTAAGGTCTTAGATATGAAAGCTTATGTATTACTTAATTTACCTTATTTCACTATAATTAATTAGTTTGTCATAAGAAACTAATTATATATATTATTAAGAGTTTGATATAATGTTTAGGTAGATTTTAATTCGTGTTTATTTCGTCAAAGTCAATTTAGAAGCCAAACATAACTGGTATAGACTTCGTTAACATCACCAACGTTGCTTAAGATAGCGAAGTGAGAATATGTTAGGTATTTGTCTCTTTTAGGAATATTAACATAAACTAGTCAAATATAACCTAAACTTTACTTTGATAGTTACTGTATGATTTATGTTATATCGGTTTAAATTAGGTAGAATAGTTAGCGTAAAGTGCTAACATCGTATCTACTTATAGTAATTCATATTTTTCAGTATAAACTAAGGTTAGATTCACACAATTATCACATTTTAATTTATTCTAAGTTACATTTTTAATCTAAGTTGGTTTAAATGTGACTAGAGAGTTAAATTAGCGTTATTTGTTAACTTAGCGACTTGTGTTAAGTTAGCCGCTTATGACGTCACGCGCCAAGTGTTGTTTGGGCGGGAAGTTTTGTTTTTTGCTTGTGATCATTAAGTGGATTTTCGGCGTTTATAAGTAACCCTGAGCTCCCTACGGCATTGTAAGTACTCCTATACCTTTATGAGTTTATAAGTAAATGAAATGTAAGTTATATAAGTTCTTAAAATAGTGAAACGTGACTTAAAATAACATCAACAGGTAAGACGATCCATCTCTTATTTCGGTAAAGTATCTTGTGGTTTATTCTCCTTCCAAACGTTCACAAACTTTAATAAACATGGAATAAGAGATAAATAATGATAAAGGAAGAGAGGTAATATAAGGAGAATAGAAACATCGGAAGCCATTAAATAAGATAAGGCAATGGTAACCAAATTCATATTACATTTTTTCCTTTATTCTTTGTTCTTCTATGTATTGTATTTATCATTATATCCGGCTGGTAATACACATCCGGCTTGAGCTCTTAATATATTCCCTAGTAGAGAGCCGGATGTTACAACGTGTGTATAAATAATAACTTGAAGGAAAGGTTTTTGTCTTCTGTGCTGTATAATATAACCGTTTTTTTTTCTATTATTTAAACTTTTATTATTATTAAAGGAAAATTCTAATCTAGTTGACTTTGGTATATGTTAAGGCCTTAGATACGAAAGGTTCTGTATTACTTAATTTACATTATTTCACTATAATTAATTAGTTTGTCATAAGAAACTAATTATATATATTATATAAATAATAAATAACTAAAATAAATAAATATTGAAGTGATAACCGTGGTAACATTCTGAGGTGTTCCTATTACCACTATGCTATGTGTACTATTCCAGGTGATACTAAATGTTACATAATACAGTGCCTACAGGAGAGCTCAGGTTCTCAACTGGCTCAGCCATGTTAATACCTGTATTATTATTATCCACTCTGAATCTGTGTTTTTCTGACTAAATAAACTATCAATTCAAGAGGAATTTGAGTTTGATATAATATTTAGGTAGGTTTTAATTCATATTTATTCGCCAAAGTCAATTTAGAAACGAAATCACTGGTATAGACTTCGCTAACATCAACGATGCTTAAGATAGCAAAGAGAGTGATCTGTTAGGTATTTGTCTTTTTTCAGAAATATAACATAAACTAATCAAATATAACCTAAACTTTACTTAGACAGTTACTGTATGATTTATTTTGTATTGGTTTAGGTCAGGTAGTGTAGTTAGCGTAAAGTGCTAACATCGTATCTACTCAGTAATTCATATTTTCGGTATAAACTAAGGTTAAATTCGCACAATTATCATACCATAAATTATTCTTAGTTATTTTTTTTATCAAAGTTGGTGTAGATGTTACTAGAGAGTTAAATATGCGTGTTTTGTGAACTTAGCGACTTGTGGTAAGTTAGCCGTTTATGACGTCACGCGCCAAGTGTTGTTTGGGCGGGAAGTTTTGTTTTGTCTGTAATCATGAAGTGGATTTTCGGCGTTTATAATTAACCCTGAGCTCTCTGCGGCATTGTAAGTACTCCGATACCTTTATGAGTTTATAAGTAAGTGAAATTTAAGTGATAAAAGTTCTATAAGTAGTGAAAAGTGACTTAAAATATCGTTAACAGTGTCTTGCTGTTTTTCTCCTTCCAAGCGTTCAGAAACTTTTATAAATATGGAATAAGAGATAAATATGGATAAATAGTGATAAGAGAAGAGTTGGAATATAAGGATAAAAGATATAAACACTAGATGCTATAAATAAGTTAAGGCGTTAAGACAATTATATTAATATATATATAATGTAATATGATAACTTATTATTTCATATAGCTAGTAATAGTGAATAAAGATGGGGATAATGAAGAACCTTTTACAGTGAGACGGTATTTTTTTTATTCATCTATCAACTATCACATCGGCTTTGGTATAGGGGGGGCCTTGTGTATTGCACTGCTGAAAAAAAATATATATTTATATTTATATATTTATATTATATTTATCATTTGGTCTATACAGCTTACTACAGTCTTCTTAATACATGTCTAAACACTCCCTAGGTTAGCTGTTAGTTAAGAATATAATTGAGATTTTTAACCTCTTGAGTACGATAACTTGAGTGAGATGGTACTCTTTACTATGAGGGTGTTAGGGCATTGTACTCGGATTAAATCATCGTACTCAAGTGGAGGGCTAAAGTCATCGTACTCAAGGCGTTAAAACACGATTCGGTGGGAAAAAATAGCAATCGTTGGTTTATTTTCTATTTTACTAACATTCAGGTAAAAATATTCTTCAATATTCTTCATTGGTATTGAGAATTACTACCATATGACATCTAGTTTTAATAACATGGTAAAGACTAGAGCGACGTGAAAGTATAAAGGATTGAAAAAAACACAAAAGAAAAGCGTTATACTGTACAGTCCGTTAAGGTTCCGATCCTCCTGTCGCGTGAGTCAACAGTTTCTAACGCATATACTCTGAGACACATTCGTTAATTCTACCATTAATGAGTGGTAACCGTACAGTCAAACTATGTATACTTAATACACACACAATGAAATGCATCATCTATGTATTATAAGGATTACAATCTAAGACGTGACAGTTGTGTGTGTGTGTGTGTGTGTTGGGTAGCCTATCAGTGTTTGTATTTGCCAAGCTATTTGAGGAAATTAGCAAAATATCACTACGTGTTCCATCATTTTTTCTGTACTAGGCTAATAATCTACATGATCGCTGTGGTTAATTTGATAGAATTATAGACACATGATATTTTTTTTTGACGATTCATTCACTATGATTTAAGGCACAGTAATAAGACTGCGTGCCGTAGGTATCGATATTATGAAAGCGTAAAATCCTCAAGGACTTTCATTACTACACCAACAAATATTAAGGTCTTTAAACGCGTAACATAATAACTATATATAAAATAATACTCAATTTCAATGGATTCGGTAAACACAAACGTAGATATGATTTTTTTTTTAAACATTCAGTATTAATAATTTTCACAAGACAAATTAGAATGACAGTTTTAATGGGGCAGAGCGGACGAGGCTGTCATAATTGAATCATAACCACAATTTGCTAACCTCGACAAGATACAGTGATGGTAGATAATGGTTACTACACTTTGGGATTGTCAGAAGGATTAATGTTTGTTATGGTGTCGCCCAAGAGAACAGTATAGAAAATTAGAAGAAGAGATTATGATAAGAAAATGGCTTTGATATAGCCACCGTACTGTGTGTGTGATGATAATAGGTTATGTATACAGAAGAGCTTCATTAGGGGAACAGTACAGCAACGTGTATAAATAAACAAAAGCGCATCAAGCCTAAAGAGACAGACAAAGTAGGATTTTCACGGTGAAAATAATACATACATTTATAATTTACCCCCAAAAAACGATAAACTGAAAAACAAAATGAAAATCCAATTAAATTTCCATCATAGTGAATAATAATAATAATAATAATAATCATCTACTTTACCAAACAAACTCGGTTCTTTCTCATATATAATGTGGGTGAAAATGGCCGGTGTCAGGGCGGGTATCAGGAGGCGATGAATGATCCAGTGGTGTATGAAAGAGTTTACTTAGTGCGGGTGTATGAGAGTTCACTTAGTGCAGGTGTATGAGAGTTCACTTAGTGCGGGTGTATGAGAGTTCACTTAGTGCGGGTGTATGAGAGTTCACTTAGTGCGGGTGCATGTATAGAACTTTTGGGTATATTTGAATAATGTGTAAACTAGGAGAGAACAAAACATTGTTCTTCGGTGGTATTCTGGGGATGTTCTAGTGAGAGTAGTGTTCTAATAGGGGTGTTCTAGTAGGTATGTGTAAAGGGGTGTTGTTCTAGTGGGGGTATAGAACGATGGTTTAGGTTTTAACCTTTGAGGAAGATGGTTTAAGTTTTAACCCTTTGAGGACGATGGTTTAAGTTTTAACCTTTGAGGACGATGGTTTAAGTTTTAACCCTTTGAGGACGATGGTTTAAGTTTTAACCTTTGAGGACGATGGTTTAAGTTTTAACCCTTTGAGGAAGATGGTTTAAGTTTTAACCTTTGAGGACGATGATTTAAGTTTTAACCATTGAGGACGATGGTTTAAGTTTTAACCTTTGAGGACGATGGTTTTAAGTTTTAACCTTTGAGGACGATGGTTTAAGTTTTAACCTTTGAGGACGATGGTTTAAGTTTTAACCCTTTGATGAAGTTGGTTTAATTTTTATAGCCTAAACCATCGTCCTCAAAGGGTAAAGAGAATTGCTGCTAATGTTAAAACAATATTGGTGGGGTTTTTTGGCAGTGTTTTTGAATAAGATAAAATTCATTTTTTTTTTGTGTTTGAGCGAAAATATGTGTTTTTTTCCGTGTTTAAGTGAGTTTGTCTTAGATAATTAACAACTACACACCGAAACAAACAAACATACAAACAAACAAACAAACATCGTATAGCTAAAAATGTTTATATATATCTATCTATCTATATATAAATGCCATTGGTGTAGGTACGGTTCTTAATTAATATACATGGTTGGTATATACATTGGATCAACCCTCATATGTACTGTATAAGTATACTTAATGCTAAAAAAGGCTCCCTAAGTGAAACTCCTTACCACAATACATCAAACATCAATAGAAATAAATACAAGTTTGTCTTAGTCTATGTATACATTAAATATACATTTTTTTTTACCATACACTAAAGGGGAAAACAGAATATCCTTCACGTAAGCGCTGGTCCTGGTTCCCTGATGTCATGTTGAGTAATGGGCCAACAGGTATAGACTGACTGGATAATGGCGTCTGATCATTTAACTCTTGGTAGGCGAGACGTGGAACTGGTTTGTGACTGGTATATATGTCCACCAGTTTAGACAGTTGATCAGTCATTCCGGCGCCGTGGTTCAGTCATTATATATCTCGAGTCTTTGTAAACATAACGATAGGGAACCAGTTTAATAATGACCCCCAAAAATAATTAAAAATAAAAAGCAATTAGTCGTTTTTTACACCTGGATCAACCAGGTCTTTGAGATGCTGCCGCTACACTACGCCATAATCGCTACTCTATTATATACTGCATCAAACAGCGAATAAATTAAATGCCCTGGGAGTTAGACTACAATGAGAGGGAGGGGGTTGGGATGGAGACAGAGAGGGAGGAGAGAGGAGGGGATTAGTGAGAGGGACAGAGAGAGGGGGGGAGGTTCAGAGAGAGATAGAGAGTGGGAGGGACAGAGAGGTAGCTAGTGGGAGGGACAAAGAGAGGGGGTAGGGACAGAGATAGAGAGTGGGAGGGACAGAGAGAGAGAAGGAGAGGCAGAGAGAGAGGGGAGGAGGGTGAGAGTCTTTTGATTATTGCAAAATTATAAACAAAACAAAAGTCATGGATGAGAATACAAACACACTTGTTGTCTTTTTGTTTACCTTCATCTCTACACTAACCTTCTCTCGGTACCGCACCTTGACGGGTCGTGAGTACCGAGAGCTATGAATGGGTGATAAAAGCAGGTATATAATAATAATATGGACGCATTCCTGACGCAGGTATATGTAAAATGTATACCTTCCTGGTTCATATTTTGCACTGATGATCATTATTTATGTATATGTATAATCCCAAGTGAGGTTTAGAACTATTGTTTACATCTGTTTACACCTATTAGACGTATAATACAGGTAACTCTAGGGGATATATCTCCCTTTACAGGTGACAAGTGAGTTAATTAACCTGGGCAACACCTGTGTTATGTTGAGACGGCATGAAGACCGTCAACACGTGTTCTGTTTCATTAGATTAGTCTACAGGTGTGCCATAACCACAGGCTATCTTCTACAGGTGGGTGTGTGTGTTACTATAAGGCGACATATCGGTATGTCTTCCACGAGTGGGACGATATACGATATATCATACACGAGTTACTGGGCGACTATATCCTCTGTAAGTGTGGCTATATAAAGATATCATTCATCCACAAGAGTGCCACCTGATATCATCCACAAGTACACTACACTGAGATATAACACGTATAGCCTTTATATCATGTGCTATATATGGCATTGGATCGTCCATACTTGTGCTACACGACGCTATACTGCCCAAGAGGTGTGCCTGCTACCATCATGTATAGCTGTGTGTGTGTGTATACAGGTGTGTATGTGTGTACAGTATGTACAGGTGTTAGAGCACGATGCAGGTGTGGCTCTGTATGCGGCTCTTGGTGGTGAAGGTGGAGGTGTGAGCCACGACCGGTGATGTCCCTCGGTCTACCATCTCGACGCTGCCTCCGACATGCACCACCCTATCGTTGAGTGGCGTCACCACCTTCACCACCTCGTGCGGCAGTTTGAGGCCCGTCTTAGTATCGTTGTGGGTGTAGTGGTTGTCGATGAGGACGTCTGGTAGCGGTGTGTTCTGTCTCTGTGGTTGTGTTGGGTTGCTGGTGTTATTGACGAAAGGTTTGTGGTTGAAGTTTTGTTGGTGGTGGTGGTTGAGGCTGGTAGGAGGAGGCTTCTCGTGGGTGGTGCTCCTGACCCTCTCCATCAGCTCCTGCGCGGTGGGTATCTGTACCTGGGCCTCTTCCGTCGGGGAGGGCTTCGTCAGGCCGTCGATGATGGGCAGTGCTGAGTTAGAGAAGCCCACGTTGGAGTAAGTACGGCCTGTGTGATGGGCAAGAGGAGGAGGATGACGATACACTATTATGACTGTTTAGGTTAGGTTAGATTAGGTTAGGCTAGGCTGGGTTAGGTAAGGTCAGGTTACGTTAAGTTGGGTTAAGTTTGGATAGGTTAGGTCGGGTCAGGTTAGGTTAGGTCAATATTTACACGAAAAATTACATGTATGTACAGATACACTCCAGAGAACCACTGTTATTGTCGTGTTTACCTAAGACTTTTGGCCTATTCCCTCATCCCCTCATTCCCTAACCCCCTGACCCCTCCGCCCCCTTCACCTCCTTACCCCCTTACATCCGCACACCCTCACCCCCCTCACCCCCTCCAGGATTACAACACACCTGTACACGGTCTATTGTTATTTACCTGACTATACCTCACTACACAATGGTTCTTTATGTTCCTTGTTACCTCCAGTTAATGTGTGAAACTGTACCACCTGTACCTAACCTAACCTAACCTAACCTAACCTAACCAAACCTAACTAATTTATGCTTACATCTGTGTGATGCTGGATGCTGTATGAGTGTTTGTGCTCAGACAAACACAGAGGTAAGCAGACAGACACTCACAGAAAGACAGACAGACAGACAGGACCGAAAGCAATACCCTGCCCCCACAGCTACACGCCAGATTAATAATAATAATAATAATAATAATAATAATAATAATGTAATTAATTTTGAGTATACAGCTTAGGGCTTCCTTGACACACACACACACACACACACACACACACACACACACACACACACACACACACACACACACAGGCTTGGGAATTATCCTGACAAACGAGGTTAAACAGTTTTATTCCGGCACAAACTGAATACGAAAATAAGGGCAAAGTTCAGTGAGGAGTTTTATTTAAACTGCAAAAAGGATATTAACGTCTCTCTCTCTCTCTCTCTCTCTCTCTCTCTCTCTCTCTCTCTCTCTCTCTCTCTCTCTCTCTGCGTCTTTGTTTCCAGAGGATATAAGGGGAGGGTGCTTGGATGGAAGTAAAGGGGTATTGAGAGAGGGGTAGGAGAGGGGGGGGAAAGGTGAGGTAGGGAAGTGCTTAGGAGGAAGTCAAGGAGGTGTTGAGTGGGAAGGAAAGGGAGGGGGATACTGAAGGGGTAGGGGTGAGTGGTATTGAGAAGGGAGGGAAGGGGAGGGGGTGGTGAAAGGGAAGGCAGGAGGATGAAGAGAGGGGAGGGGGAAGAGGAGGGAAAGGAAGAGGAGAGAGGTGTTGAGAGGGAGGGGAGGGATGTCAAGGGGGGAGGGAGGGGGTGATGAGGTGAAGTGGGGTGAGAGAGATCCTGACGATGAAATATGGGGGCGGCATCAGTCAGGCTCATGGCCGGCTTTTGAGGGAGATTTATATTAAGGGGAAGCTGCATCGTGTGTGTACGTGACCTGTGTGTGTATGTATGCGTATATATGTGTGCGTATGCCTATGTTCAGTATGTGGTCTATAATGCGTACAAGTGGGCAGGTGGGATTTTCGCGCGTTCGCTTTGTTTATATTGATCAGCTGTTGACCAAAATAATTAAGTGTTTTTGGCGGGAAACTTCATTGAGGAGTCAGTTGTTTGTTCCTTGTTATCAAATATTCTGATCTACTGTCTTGTGTAGGCGAAGAAAATGGTAGTTTGAGGATTATTTACTTACATACATACATACATACATACATACTTACATACATACATACATACATACATACATACTTCCATACATACATGCAGAGACAAAGATGGGGAGAAAAAAACGATAAGAGAAAATAAAGGTAAGAACACCTGTATGTGAATAATTAATTAACCAAAGTGGTGTTACCTTAATGAATAATGAGAAGAAATATTCACTACTGATGAATGAAGTTTTTATCGATCATGATTTTTCTTAGTGCTTTTTGGTAGTGATTGTGTGATGGTAGTAGTGGTGGTGATGGTGGTTGTGGTAGCAGTAATGTTTATTGTGCTGATGTTTTTAGTAGTAGTGGTGGAGGTACTGGTAATGGTGCAGATGCTGGTAGTAGTAGTAGTAGTAGTGGCGCTATTGCTACTAGTAGTTACAGTGGTGGAGGTGGTGCTGATGCTAGCAATAGTTATAGCGGTGGTGTAGATGCTAGTGCTACTAATAGTGATGCTGGTGCTGGTAGTAGTGGCGGTGATGGTCGTTGTAGTAAGGGTGGTGGTGATAGTAATGGTGGTTGCTTTAGTAGTAATAGTGATTGTAATGATTGTGGTGATAGTAGTAGTTGTGGTGATGGTGGTGGTCGCTGTGATAGCTATAATGGTGGTTGGGATATTCATTATATTGGAGGTAGTAGTGTTGGTGGTTGTAGCGGCGTGTGTGTATGTATGTATGTATGTATGTGCATCTTATCCTCCCCTTACCTGACGAGTAGTGTTTACTCTATCGGCTCTGGGATAAGGATGACAGGTTCTGGAAAGACATCACAGAAGGGAGACTGAGCCAAAGGGAGAGTTATTGTTTTAGAGTTTAAAGCGATCAACAACATGGATAGGAGATGCTGGACTACATACATACATACATACATACATACATACATACATATATACATACATATATACATACATACATACATACATACATACATACATACATACATACATACAGTACATACATATAGAAATACAGAAATACATAGTCTCACGCGCATACACACAGACACACAACTATACACACACACACAAACACTTGGGACATATTTACTATTCCCAAAGAAAGAAAGAAAGAAAAAAAGAGTGTGCATTAATCCCTTTATTGATATTCCTAGACGGTAACAAAACATTAACTCTCACCCCAACCGCTAGACCCCCTGTGCCCCTTCTCTATGACGTCACTAGTACCCTAACTTCCCCCGCCTCCCCCACCAACCCCCCCCAAAAAAAAAACACTACACAAACAAAAAACAAAAAAAACAAATTAGGGCCCCACATCTCCCCTTACGGTACGCCTTCCTTAGCTGTTTACGTCCATGCAGTAGTAGCCAATGACAGGCCCCCATAGTGAGGAAATAGGTAAGAAATATTTTTTTTTCTAGGGTGGCTTAAGGACGGGAGATGGTCGTACTGGGAAATAAAATGACTTTTTGTTTATAATGACAATTGGATTAAGATTTAAGTGTGGTTTGCTTTGGTATCTATCTGTTTGTCTATCTATCTATCTATTTACTGGATCTATCTATCTGTCTGTCTGTCTGTCTGTCTATCTATCTCTATATTTATTTCTGTCAATCTATATATTTATATTTATTTATCTCTATCTATCTAGCTATCTATCGAGTCATTCTTACCTCTGGGTTTCTCTGGGCCGCCCTTAGACACCTCGAGAGGACCCACATGAGAGTTGGCGGTGGGCGGCTGCATCTGATGGGCGGCAGTGGGTGGCGGTGGATGGGGTATCTGATTATTGGTGGTGGGCGTGGGTGGCGGTATCTGATTGGTGGGTGGTGGTGGTAGTGCAGCTGCGGCAGGAGTGAGGGAGGGTGTTGGAGTGTTGGTGAGGGAGCGGCGGGCCACGTCCTCGAAGGTAATGGGTGAGTAGTTCCTCGAGACGTTGGAGCCACGCCGTTGGTCTGCCACGTCCTGAGCGACGATGGACTGAGGTAGTGTGACTTGACCCTTTACTGACGGCCGCCCCTCGCAGTCAGTCAACCAGTAGGTCTTCATAATACCTGACGGAGTAGAAGAAAGAGGTGGAGATGGTGTGTATTGGTTTACTGGTTATTCACTCTCTTGGAAAACTTGAGGCTCACAGGATCGAAAATATACACTTATAGTCAATTCTAGTTTAGGTTTTCATAATGCCTGAAGGCGTAGAAGAAGGAGGAGCTGGTGTAAAGTGGCTAACCGGTTATGCTCTCACCTTGAAGTCTCAAGGACACAGAATCGAAATGTAAACATAAGGAAGTGAACACAGACCAATTATTGGCTCTGGCAGTAAGCTGAGTCATTATGGCACTTACCTACCTACCTTGTGGCAGCACTTACCTTGAGACACTTACCTACCTACCTTGTTACACTTACCTACTACTTGTGGCACTGTCAGGTATAGGTAATTATCCCTCTTACTCCCACCATTGTCACAGTCGTGACAACATTGTATTTATTGAGTTCGCATGTTACACCGAGTACCCGTAAGGTGTTATTATTTTGGTCACAGTTGTTACGATAATTGTGGCTCCGTTATGCTCACTTTGTTACATCATCAGTGCTCAGCCAATCATTAAGTCTAGATTTTGTTACTTCACCAGTGCTCAGCCAATCATTGAGTCTAGATTTTGTTACGTCACCAGTGCTCAGTCAATCATTAAGTCTAGATTTTGATACGTCACCAGCGCTCAGCCAGTCATTGAATCTAAATTTTGTTATGTCACTGGTTTTCATCCAATTAAAATTCGCGTCAAGAGCGTCTTAACCAATCAGGATTCACGTCACCAGCAACTAGCCAATCAAAGTCTTCCGTGGTCAGACCGGTCGAGAATTATCTGGGATAAGGAGGATGTTGTGGTGCTTGAGGGAGTGAGGGGGGTCAGGGAGTTCAAGTAGGAAGTGAGAGGGGTCGTAGAGGAGGTCAGGGGGTCGAGAAGGAGGTGCGAGGGGTCGGGGAGGAGGTCAGGAGGATCAAAGGGAAGGTCAGGGATGTCAAGGAGGAAGTGAGGGGGTCAAGGAAGAGGTCAGGGCGTCAAGAAGGAGGTCAGGGGGTCAAGGAAGAGGTCAGGGGTGATTAATGGGCAAGAAATGACTCTGGATGCTTCTCTGATAGCCGCTATAAATGAGAGAGAGAGAAAATAGAAAGATAGAGAGTAGAGGGAGATTAGTAGAGACAAAGAGAAAGAAAGTGAATAGAGATAACGAGCGAGAGAAAGGAGGAAATTGATAGAGAAAGAGAGAGGGTAAGAGAACTAAAGATAGAGAGAAACATAAAGAGAGAGAGATTGGTAGAAAGAATGAGAGAGAAAGAATAGAGATTGATAGAAAGAATGAGAGAGAGAGAGAGAGAGAATAAAGATGAAAAGAAAGAGAGTGAGATTGATATTAAAGAGAGATAGAGAGAGACAAAGAATCATGGATCACCCTCAAGTCAGCTAAACATCCCCTCAAACGTACGAATCACAACTATCCATCTGGCGGTCTAAGTCAGTCTGGCAGTCTGTTGGTTTTATCTCGTGGGAGCCATTGGTGGATTTACTTGATCCACCAGAGAGTGAGAACGGGTGTAGGGAGAGAGAGAGGGGTGAGGGAGAGAGAGGGGGGTAAGGGAGAGAGAGAGAGAGGTGAGGGAGAGAGAGGGGTGTAGAGAGAGAGAGGGTGAGGGAGAGAGAGGGTGGAGGGAGAGAGAGAGGGGTGAGGGAGAGAGAGGGGTGAGGGAGAGAGAGAGGGGTGAGGGAGAGAGAGGGGCAGAGAGAGAGGGTGAGGGAGAGAGAGGGGTGACGGAGAGAGAGAGGGGTGAGAGAGAGAGCGAGACAAAAATAAAGAGAATACAGATAAAGAGAGAAGTGAGGGAGACAGAAGGAAAGAGTGAATAGAGATAAAGAACGACAGAGAAAAGGAGAAATAGATAAATAGAGAGACAAAGAAAACAAAATATATAGCCACAGAATATATCCTCTCCTCTCTATGCCAGTTGGAGCGAGATAGGAGTCCATATTGTTCTGTTATTACCAGCGAGTCATTAGTGAGGTGTAATCGGATTGTTAATGAACCTTAGTGCAGGATTAATTGAGTGTGTTGGTGGAGGGGGTGGGGGGAGGTGTTGGTGGAGGGGGTGGGGGGGAGGAGGTGTGTGGTGTGGAGAGTGAGGTGGGAAAGGGCGGGGGAGGTGTTTGTTGTTGAGGGTGTGTGTATGTGAAGGAGCCAAATAATGCTGGACATAATGCACGTTCTAAACACACACTCACACACACACACACACACACGTACACACGTACACACACACGTACACCACACATATCTCCACCGAATTGTTTCAGTCAATCCTAGATAATTGATTCCTTAACTCCCCTTCTTATCTGCCCACCAGCCATCTGATCTCCGAGAGACCAAACTCGACTCTGATCTGGTCTGATCGTTTGGTCTGGTCTTAATCACGCCTCTGGTCCTCTTCCTCCCCCGACGC